AGGCCGCGCGAGTCCAGGCCCCGCCGCTGCAGCTCCGACCGCAGCTCGGTCACTTTCAGCCGCTTCACCTCCATTGCCGCCGCCGCCTCCTCCGCCTCCCGCTGCCTCCTCCCCTGCGAACCGACGACCGAGCCCGACCGCGCAGGCGCCGCCGCCGCCCGCCTCCGCTTCACGCGCCAGCACTGAGCCCGCGCGAGCGAGCGCACGTACGGACGCACGCAGGCGACTAGGGCTGCGCGCAGCCTCTGCTACGGATCTCCTTTCTGCTCCCCTCCCCTTTTCGGCCGACGGAGCCCAAAAAACGCAGCGGGGAAGTATTTCCCTTCCTGCTCCCGCGGTTCCCCTGCCGCAAGCGGGCGCGCGCCGAGGACGACGGACTTCCCTCCCTTTACCTACCTCCCCCCTCACCTACTGGCCAATCGCCGCCGGTGTTTCACTGCGCAGCCGCATCGGTGCCAGAGACGGGAAAAGCCTGGCTGCGGCTCAAGTGCCTCGTAGCATGGAGGCGTGTGCGCCCTTCTTTCCGTACTTCCAGCCGGAGTTGCGCAGCCGCCCGGAGCTCCCCTCCCACACGCCCCTCCCATCCCGTCACCACCCTCACTCCTGCCTTCCGATCGCGCTTTAGTCTTGGGACTCGCTCGCTAGTCTCTTTTTCTACTGTCTATGCATGCAGCAGCTTCTTGAGAGTTTGAAAAAAAAAAAAAATCCAGAAGGGAAGCTGTTGCAAAGTGAAAGCCTCCTAGTAACTCTCTTTCTGATTAGTAGACCAAAGGGCTCTCCAAAACCAAGAAATACAGTAACCTCTGGCCCCGCCCCCCAATCCCTTAACGTCTACCTAGCAACAACGTCCAGACCTCGCCTTTTAGCTAGTTTATTGGCCAACTTGAATCGTCATCTGCAATTTTGATTGGTCATCCATGATCGTCCGAATTTTTCCTATTGGTGAAGTTGCCACGGGATTTTTTTTTTTTTTTCCGGGTTGGTCTGCAGGGGGCTGGAAAGGCGGGGTCGTTTCTGCGGGATTACTTTTCTGGGGCCGCTTCTGATTGGGCCGCGTGGTGCAACGCGCGCGACCCTTTAGACAACAAACTGTCAAGAGACCGGCCCTCGCCCTCTGGCTGCTCCCACCGGTAACCCGAAACCCAGGGCGCAAGTTCGAGGCTTGGGCATTTGCAGAGGGCAGGGGGCTGGCCGCGGGGCTTGGAGGATTTGCAGCTGAGCTGCTCTGCGGCCGGGTCAGTCACGGCCTTTGGGCTGCGGTGCACGAACCACGTTCACCTCGGTTTCCCAGCTCCTGGCACAGACGTCAACGAATGCTTCTTGAATACGTGCGAATAAAGAGCTGGCATGGGGGCAAGCCCTTTAAACATCTCTTAGCAATTTTCCCCGCCTACTTTCTTCCACTTCCAGGTCAGGGAGGTGTGTCCAAAAGAAAGGAGGAAGCCAATTCCGCCGGCGTTCGCGCGCCTGCCACAATTCCTCAGTGAGTCCTTTGCCTTTTCGGGGTCTCCTCACTCCAGACTCCTCTGTTTAGAAAACTCGATCTGTGGCGTTACTAGTCCCACATCCTCTCACTGATTAGTTTCCTGCACTACTAGAGATTGAAAAATACTGCAGAGAAGAAAGGAAAGGGCTGTGGTAGAAACAAGCAAAGCTCATTCCCTGGAGGGCCTCCTGGAGAAGGGTAATTTCCTGCCTTAAATCAGCTACCAAAATCAGTAATTTTGCTCCCACCCCCAGAGCTTCAGTTGCTCTTTCACTTCCCAATTCCGCAAGACCACTGGGCGACAGAATTATGGAGAAGCGCCTGCAGGAGGCTCAGCTGTACAAGGAGAAAGGAAACCAGCGTTACCGGGAAGGGAAGTACCGAGATGCTGTGAGTAGGTACCATCGAGCTCTGCTCCAGCTGCGGGGTCTGGATCCCAGTCTGCCCTCCCCGATACCTGATCTAGGACCTCAGGGCCCGGCTCTCACACCCGAACAAGAAAACATACTGCACACCACCCAGACAGACTGCTACAACAATCTAGCTGGTAAGAACAGGGCCGAAGGGTGGGTAGAGTATCCAGGCAGGTACACGAAAATCTGTCCACGTTGGGAAAAGCACTGACGGGCTTTTCTGCTCTCTTTTGGTTATTCTGCTATGAGTTGAAATATATTTCCCCTGGCTGGGTAGTTCATTTGGTTAGAGCGTGGTCTTGATAGGCCAAGGATGCAGGTTGGATCCCATCAGGCCACATACAAGAATCAACCAATGAATACATAAATAAGCAGAACAGCAAATCCATGTCTTTCTCCCCTCTTCTGTCTCTTGCTCTCTAAAATCAATAAATAAAATTTATAAAACCCCTTTTCAAATTAAAATATATTTCCAATTTATAGGGCTCTAATTGAGTTTCTGTAGAGTGATAGTTCTCAAACTTCACCTGGAGAGTTTGTTAAACACAATTCCTGAGCCCCATGCCCAGAGATTCCAATTTAATGGGTCTGAGGTGATGCTTACTATTTATTTTCATTTTCTAACCAACTCCCAGGTGATGCTGATGGGTTTAGGGAATTTTGCATGCAATGGAGAAAATACTGAGTTTACATTGAAGGCATTTTTTAAAATATATTTAAAATACAAGAAAGAGTGCTTGCTTCAGCTGGTATAAGTCATCCATAGTAGATGCTTTGGATGGTTTTTCCTCATTTTCCTCCAACCTATAAGTCAGCTGAATGGTAACTTGGATGACTAGTATCTTCCATTTTCATATGGCCTTGGGTGAAGAGATGGATGTCAAGAGTTAGTATCACTAGGATTAATCTGCTAAAAGAAAGGAGACTTCTTAGGTCTGTTCTATGGTGGGCAAACTAACCATGGAGCTAATTAAATTATTTTGAAGTATATTAAAACATTCTAACAGTCCAAGTTGAGGCCATAGAAATTATTAGAAATAGTTTTTACACTTTATAATTGTTTAAAAGTGACTTTGAATTTTTTTACAGTAATACTCATCAGCTATGGTTTGGTGAAAATCTAGCTTTTTTACAGTGCATGTCCAGTGCTACCCTTGGACTTAAGTAACAAAAATAGTAATTATGGTAGTTAACGTTCCAATTCAACAATTATGTATTCGGTGCCAAGGATCCTTGATCTCATTCAAGTAAGGGAGATGGACAATTAACAACAAAAGTAACATATATAATTTTTAGAAAACGGTAAGTACTGTGGATAGTGAGTGCCATAGGCAGGGAGCGTTCACTTTTTTTTCTCTTTTTTTTTAATCCTCACCTGAGGATATTTTTTTCCATTGCTTTTCAGAGAGAGTGGAAGGGAGAGAAACATTGATTGGTTGCCCCCCCACGTGCCTGGACTGGGGCGGGGGATTGAGGCTGCAACAACCCAGGCACATGCCCTGGACTGGAATCTAACCAGGGACCCTTCAGTCTGAGGAAGGGCACTCTAACCACTGAGCAAACCAGCTAGGGCAGGAGTGTTCACTTTTAAAGAGTGGTCAGGGAGGGGCCCATTGAGCTGACTCGAAATGCCCTGGGAAGACACTGTTTAAGCCCTTTATACATATTTAAGTGTCACAACAATCCTTTGAGGTAAATTTAAGGAAACAAACAGCTGGTAAGTGGTGGAACTAAAATTAAACCTAGGCAATTCTTAATTCCAGAACTTAAGTTCTTATTGCAGAATATGGCACGTTTACCTTTTTCATTACAAAAAGGCAGAGGATTGACCTCAACATTGCTTCCTAAACAGATTTGTATTTTGAGGTCCCATTAGGGAACAGGGTACATATTATGGAATTGACCAGAAATTAAGGAATGAGATGTTGTAGAGATGGGTACTTGTAAATATCTTGACTCTCCAGGTGAAGTTGAAGGCAGAGACTATCGCTCAGCCATCTGTAAAGTCTCAGCTTATGGGTACTTGTTAGATTCTCCACAAAGACTCACTGAATTAACAATTTTTACTTATTAACCACCTATAACACGCTTTTGTTTATTGTATATTCCTACTACTTGGGGACTAGGATGCAAAGTTTGTTTACTCATCAAGATGTCTGTCTTAGCTCTGCCTAGCACATGGTCAGTGTGCCATAACTAGTTGTCGGATGAATGAGTGAAGCTGTAGTGATGGATTAATTGACCACTAATCTGGGGGAATATCTAAGTATAAACCATTTGACCACTTGGTGGGGATGTTGTAGAAGGAGTGCAAACATCAGCCCTTTAATGTTCTCATTAGCCCTGATTCTCTGTTCTTCTCAGCACTATGATGTAATAATACTATGTTTAATTCCCACCGTTATAAAATAGGGAAACATTTCCCGTCTTGATTATAAAGGGGCAGAAGGTTGACCTGATCATTGCCTCCTAAACAGGTGTGTATTTTGAGGTGCCATTAAGTCACCCAAGAAATTAGTGAAGTAATATGGCATCATTGAAAATGATGATGATTTTGGAGTTACAAAGTCCTCGATTCAAATTTCTTACTCATTCCACCTAGAAGCTGCGGGATCTTGGACAAGTTACTTTACCTCTCTGAGCCCCGATTTCTTCATCCATTAAACTGAGGTAGTAACACATACTGATTTCCCAGAGTGGGAGAGAAGATTAAAAAAGCACACAGCACAGTGCTTGCTGTTGCCTCACACAATTAATGGCAACCATGACTGTTAACAAAGCTGCAGTACAAGAATTGTGGTGAAATGGGAGATTCAAGACAGAGAGCCTTGGGCAGAAGAGACACAGTGAAGAAGAGGTTTAAATAAATTTTTAGGTATATTCTTACTAATTTTATAGGTGGGCCGTTATAACCCAACATTAGGTACATAGTAGGCATTTGGTAGATATTGAGTAGATTGAAGGTATGTAAAGCTTTTATTCACTGCTGCATCCCATGCCTAGAAGAAGGTCTGGCACATGGCAGACACATTTATTTGTTGGATAAGGGAATGTTGTTGATACCATTCTGTGCTCGGTGCTGTCTTGAGTTGACAAATGGAATTTAATATAATAAGGCCCTCCTCCCTCTTCTCTCTTCCTTTCATTTGGCCACATTAGCTTGTCTCCTTCAGATGGAGCCAGTAAACTATGAACGAGTGAAAGAATATAGTCAGAAAGTCCTGGAACGACAGCCTGATAATGCCAAGGCCTTGTATCGGGCTGGAGTGGCCTTTTTCCACCTGCAGGACTATGACCAAGCTCGACACTACCTCCTGGCTGCTGTCAATAGGCAGCCAAAAGGTAAGAGGGAAGGGGATTGAAGTGGGAAAGACAAGGAAGGTGTCCTTTAAAGGGGGGAGCTGTGGAAGGGGTTTTTATTTTACCTTTTCAATTTATTGAATGTTTTGAATAGGTAACAATACGTTCACATGGTTCAAACTTCAAAAAGTATAAAAGTCTACAATGAACGGGCCTTTTACTCTTGTATTCTTATCTTTATAGGAAAGCAATATTGTATACCCTCCAGAAATCTTTATGCTTAAACGGGCACACATATATAATTCCCCCTCCTCCCCCAGTGGAAGAGATTTTAATACATTGTTTTTTCAAGTTACAATTCCTACATGGTGACTGAAATAGGTTCCAATGAATACACTTAATAATCCTCATTTCTGCCAGTTCTCCAGCTGGGGTCTGGCTTTTGCTTAGTCAGTTTACTTAGCTCAGCTAACCCCAGGTATGACCTAGAGAAAGGCCTACTGAGAGGGAATCTGACACTTGGTACTTTGTTTCCAAGGCAAAAAGGATATTGTGAAGCAGGTGGCCTCGGGTGGGGATGGCGGACTCGTTCCTGTGTTGGTGGTTCAGCACTGAAAATTTTCTTCCTGTTTGCATTCTGGCTTAGAGCAACTGCTAGATGCTAGAAGTAGAGGGTCCCCAAACGTTATAGCATTATAGTAAGATCTCATTGAATGAGAAAACTACTGTGAATTCATAAAGATATAAAATATGAGCCACTTGTTCATGTTCCTTACCTTCAAGTACATAGATTAACTGTCACCCAAGTATAATATCTTTAGCGGCTCGGCTGTGGCAATAACTATTTCTTCAAACTCCCTTTCATTATAAAATTAGCAGCCAGCCCAGACCTGTACAGAGATTTTTCAGAAATCCAAAGTGGTATTAATGAGATTTACTGGTGCATGGAATTGTTGTGATATATTTAGATCTTAGAATGATTTTTAAACAATGGAAGTGTATTAACAGTCTTCTGCCCTGAGGTGAGATTATGGTCTGACTGTCTCTAATTGCCTTCTTCAACCTCCTCTAAGATGCCAATGTCCGGCGGTACCTGCAGCTAACACAGTCGGAACTCAGTAGCTACCATCGGAAAGAGAAGCAGCTCTACCTGGGCATGTTTGGTTAACAGAGAAGAAGGATGTTCTTCACTTGAACTTAGGTGAACCATTAAAGACCCATCAAGTGAAACCTGAGCCTCACAAGAGAAATTAGCCCCATACCTCTGACGCAGGTGGCTTTCTGTCTTGTTTCTAGTTCTGCACAAACTCTTTAACTACTTACACAGCCTGCCCTTTTTTTTTTTTGTCTGTCCATCTATATATTTGTGCAGCCTTTAATACATGGTGTTCTTGGGGACATTTGCCCTGAGAAATGCAACCAGAAAATATTCATTAGCTATGGGTGGAATGAATCCTACCCGTGGCATAGATCTGAATGATAGGTGCTGTTAGGTGTATTCATACACAGAGGAGAAGGCTAGCGGAGGATGAACTAATGATAGACAGGAAGGGGTTTCTTCCTTTGTCTCCTCAGTTGCCCAAAGCCAAAGTTATACAGACCACAAATGGGGCAATATATTTCTTTTGTGAAACTAGACAGTTATAAATTGGGCCTACATGTCTTAAAATGAAAGGTTTGAAATTAACCGTGTTTGATTACATTAATTCCTTATTCTTAATATTCCACCTATATTCAGATTTTTTTCCCCTACAAAAAAAAGTATCTGGTTCCTATTTTGTTAATTTCTACTCATTGCTCTTGTTTATATTCAAATCATTAATGTAGCAGACTTATTTAATTTTTCATTAAACTCTTCTATTTTAAGATCTCTGGAGCCCAGCATTTAAGTATTTATTTAATAACCCTTCTGCCCTCATGCTACAAACCCACCCAAGTAAACAGTTTAGTTTTTAATAAGTGTGTAGCTATAGTATGCTTGTTTCTCTGAAACACTTAGGAAAGACAGATTACTAAGTCTCCTAGAAACAGTACCATAGAAGAGCAGGATAAAAACATAAGTCTGTTCTTTACCTGTCACTTTGTATTTTGCCAGAGCTCAGTTGAGAACGGGTTCTCCTTCCTTAGTGCCTTTTAAGCACTGTTTCAGAACTTTCTGGAAGCTGCGTTGGGCCGCGAGTGCAGGCTGCGGATCTGATGCCATCAGGGCTCAGCAGGCGGCTCCCCAGCCGGGAGCCCCCGTCCGCCCACCCACGTGTGACTAGGCCCGCAGCGTAGGAGCCCTGCAGAGCAGAGGGGGCCGCACAGCACGGCCTCCTGCGGGAGCTGCTGCTGGTGCGCGCGTCGCTAGCAATCATAGAACCGCAGACAGATTGCGGAAGGAAAAACCTTAGTCTTGCCAAATATACGCAAGTTCTTCTTCCTTTATCACTAACTCCGTGTCCCAGTGAAATAGGCTCCTCTGTGTCTCTCTATTCCCTTAAATAATGCAACCGTCAGCTTACAACAGAAAGCTTTTCTCTCCCGGCCGAGCGTGGCTCAGCAGCTGAGCACGGGCCTAGGATTCCCGGTCGGGGCACAGGCCCGGGTTGCGGGCTCGACCCCCAGTCAGGGGCGTGCGGGAGGCAGCCGGTCAGTGACTCTCATCATTGATGTTTCTCTCTCTCCCTCTCCCTTCTTCTCTCTGAAATCAATAAAGACATATAAAAAAAAAAAAGTTTTTCTACCAAATCATCTTAATGAAGTCCAAGGGTAGAACTAACAAAAGTAGAATATTTTATTCCCTTTCCAAGCCTCTTAAATTTCTAAATCTAGATTGTTGACAAAATTTTGTCACGGTTGCATGTTTTGTTTGTTTTGGGCTGTTTTTGCTTTCCGATTTTGTGTGTGTGTGTGTGTGTTTCAAGACAGTGTTACAGTGAGCTATTTTCTGCATCAATGAGGAAAAAAGAAAACTGATATTTAAGAATGAATTTTAGAAATTTATTGTACTCATCATTTTATTAGCACTGCTGAGAGACAAAGGAGTGAGGCTCACATTCTAGTCTTTGTTTCCAAGGCCAGCTCCTAAAGGAGATGTTACTGAGCAGGAAAGTGGAGCAAGGCAGGCAGTCTGATTGGGTCTGGAGGTCTGGGAAGCCCATATCCTGAAGGAATCATCCAGAGGTACCAAAATCTCTCTGCTGGGAAGTTTGTGGAGGGGGAGGCTGCTCACCTTCGGTCCTTGGAGGTCTCCTCACGGGATTCCAGGACTTGATTGAAGAGAAAGCATGGCAGATGGGAAGGTTTACACTTGGGCACATAGGAGACAGTTTCGAACAGTGTTTTCTGAACTCACACCCACCCCCTTTATAATTTTGCCAAAACCACATACTACCTATATTACTATTTAAATGTTATTTAAATATGTATTTTTAAAGGAGCCTTTGGACAGAGGAACATGTTAGATGATACTATGGGGATGTAAATAGCAAACTCTAGACTGTGAAACCCTAAGACAAGTAACTCAGTTTCTCCAATAGTAAATTGCAAGGTCAAAGAGAGGGGAACCTATAGAGTAAAAGTCTTAAGTCGACCAAATAAGTGTGACTCTACTTTGGATTCTGATTTGAAAAAAACAAAAGTTTGAGACTGAAATAATAGAAAAAATATGTATATATTGGTCTCCTCCCGGTTCCTGGCACAGTGTTCCAAAAACCTTGGAATTTGGATTCTGATTCCAAAAGTTTATGAGACAATCAGGGAAATTTGAACAAAAATTATTGTTAGTTTTATTGAGCATGATAATATATTTGGTCTTTTGTTTTCAAGATTTCTTTTAGAAGCATATACTGAAATTGCTTACTGATAAAATTGGGAGGGGCACTTTAGGGCACAGCATATCATTTGTCAAAAATAAATAAATATATTTCACAATAAAAATGTATTAGTATATGCCGAAGTAAATCATCTTTGTAAACATTGGCTTTGGAAAAATTAAATCAAAATCCAATGTGAGATGGGCAGAATTGGTGTTTTGTGAAACTGAGCTTGGCCAGTAGTCTGGCAACTGAAGAGGCATTAGCACCAAGTGAAGGCACAAAATAGCCCATTAGGAAAAGAAAGGAAATCCTAAATTAGAAATAAATCTTTAAGGCTGGAAAGAAAAGAGTGGTTGTCTGAAAACCAAGCGAGCTTATAGCTCAAAAGCAAGAAATTCCTCAGGGTGAAACTCTTTTTTTTTTTTTTTTTTTTTTTTTTTTT